ATTTTTAATAACTTTCTTTCCATTTCGTGTATTTTTGTTTAAACGCGTGCTTGAAAAGAAGCGATGTTATTAAAAATTCTTATCCTATCATTTGCATATCTCGTTCAATTAAAATTCAACGTTATAAAAATGATCCTAAGAAAATTGCGATATTATCAAAGTGGAAGGAAAAATAATAGCGAAAAAAGGTGGAAATCAGGTAACTTTCGGACAAACAACTTTCGAAAGGGGAATTAGGTGATTTTAACTACTCATTCGAGGGAATAATCGAGTCACGTCGACGTCGGGGCCAATTATCTTTGGTTTGAAAGTCGGCTAATGCGATTCCGCTGCAACTTTATCGTCGTCGATTCCGTTTCCCTCGCTGGCTTTTCAAAATTACCGTTTGATGGATGCGAACGAGCAAAAAGAGAGGCCACCGTCGAACCTTCCTTTTCTCGCTCCCTCCCTCCCTCCCTCCCTCTCTACCTCTCTCTCTCTCTCTCTCTCTCTCTTTCTCTCTCTCTCTCTCTCTCTCTCTCTCTCTCTCTCTCTCTCTCTCTCTCTCTCTCTCTCTCTCTCTCTCTCTCTCTCTCTCTCTCTCTCTCTCTCTCTCTCTCTCTCTCTCTCTCTCTCTCTCTCTCTCTCTCTCTCTCTCTCTCTCTCTCTCTCTCTCTCTCTCTCTCTCTCTCTCTCTCTCTCTCTCTCTCTCTCTCTCTCTCTCTCTCTCTCTCTCTCTCTCTCTCTCTCTCTCTCTCTCTCTCTCTCTCTCTCTCTCTCTCTCTCTCTCTCTCTCTCTCTCTCTCTCTCTCTCTCTCTCTCTCTCTCTCTCTCTCTCTCTCTCTCTCTCTCTCTCTCTCTCTCTCTCTCTCTCTCTCACCCCTCTCTCTCCTCTCTCTCTTTCTCTCTCTGTTTCTCATAAAAGTCACGACAGCGACAGCAATGCTTCAAGTGATAAATAGATTATCCGGACGTGACTCGAATAATTTCCACCGGAAACCAATGGTTTTCCGCGGCGTAAACGCGTAACCAAGTCTTATCCCCTTCGTTTTCTCTTTTTCCCCTTTTTAGTCGAATTCGCGTTTTATATTTCGTCTCATATCTTCTCTTCTTTTTCGGTGGCTTCGAGTTGAATAAAAATATCGATGGTAATTCATCGCGCGTTTAAAGGACCGTGAGATCCAGGATTTTTATCAGAACGTCTTGTTTAGGGCGAGAAAGATTCGACGGATCGGCGAAAATGAGATATCTTCGTTACCGAGGGATATTTATCACGGAGTTTGAATTTTTCGTATCGTCGTGATTTAATTGAATTTCATTTGTAAAATAAGAGAAAAAGGTCAAATAATCTGCAACTGGTAGAAAAGATCGAAAGAAGAGTTCTCATTAATTATTAATGAGAACTCTTCTTTCGATCTTTTCTACCGATCGATATCAATAGAATTCATATTTAAATTTTAAGATCGAGCGTCAAAAGTTATTCATATTTATTCTATTAATAATTCATATTTGTCCCTTTTCGTGTAGAAGCGCAGCTACACATGTTTCGAAGATTCTTAATCTTCGTTTTCTGGTGGCGTTCGCTATATCTGTGACGACGTCTCGATGTATCGATAAGATGTAGTATGCACACGCTCGACGAGAAACGAGGAGCTCGAAGAAAAGCTCCGCCTTCTTATGAAATGTGCCTCCGACCCACTTGAATTTCGACTTGACTCCTCGATCATCGGTTATCCGCATATAAATTACACTGGTGACAGTGACACCGCAATACCTATGATAAATAAATAGATCACCAGTACCGGGAAAGTTTCCTCTTCTTTCATACCGCTCCACTTCCTAAGGAAATGTTGGAATAAGTTGTCCGTCATTCAGAAATTCTTACGCCGTTCACTCTCAGAAATACGTACACCGAGAATATTATTAATCCTTTGACAACGCGATGAAGCTACGAAAAACGTCAAAACGAACGATTTACGAAGTAATTATCAGATCATCGCATAACTAACGTCGTCTCTTCCTTTTTTCCGCTTCGAGTTTCCAAGATGAAACGAATCGCTAACTACCGAAATTTACATCTCGCGATTAAATTAATAATTAATATTAATAATTCTTCCATTTTGTTAGCACTGCTTTATCAAAAGCGAACAGATATCCGAATACGTTCAAGTAGCAATCTATCATTCGTCGAATAATCACCAATTCTTTCACGTCTTTGCCCGGCCAATGATCAATGACAGGCAAATCCAACTTCGAGCTGCAACTTTCTTCGCGACGAAAATCGACGGAGGCCGATTTTCTTGCATCAACGATGTTCGAAGGAATTACAAGGGAAAATTCGAATCCCGCCACCAGTCGCTATCAGCCGACTCGTTTCCCCAGCAAAAACGGTGACCCGGATCAGCGCGATTTTCCGGTTATTATGCATTCACGGTGAAGCAGCGACACCCGGTGATGGATGAGTCCCGGGGCGAAGCGCGAATTATCTGTTTCGAAGCGAATCCTAAGACGTCCGCCGGTTTCCCAATGATTTACGAACATATTTTACAGCGGAACGGCCGGCGTGTCGCCTCTTAATCCAGCCTCTTTTACGTGTTTGATTTATTCGCGCTTAATTTCGCCCACGGATGAAAATTCAAACCGGTGAAATCGATTACGTGCAGCGGCGAAGAGTTACAACCACGACCGTCTACGTCAGGGGATAGAACGTCCGGATATCTTTCGCGCGGAAGGTTCACGCGAACCGGAAGCACCAGGTTTTTATCGTGAAAATTAGTATCGATTTCTTAAGCGGCGACAACCGGTCGCCTTTTTATTTCGGTCTCTGTGTCACGTTTTAATTAAGAACGCGGGATAGAGGAGAATTATTGAAATTGATAATATTAGAAGAGTTTGTTATTTCTCGAAACATTGTATTGTATGAAACATCGTTGTTATTTGGAATTAGAAGAGATCTTGGATATCTATAAAAATCGTAGGAATAAATAACGTACGATACGATGGTTAGAAATTCTTTTGCAGATAGAGTTACAGAGAAAAGATTTAGCAATTTCGATTAGGAATTTTTCAAACGGCGTTGTATTCAGTTTTTCAAATGGAATGTCCAACTTTTCTGTAATAAGATTCCGTAGAATATAGCGAATTCTGAATATAAAAGTACGAAGACACGTTTATCTCAGAACGTTTATCTTAAAAAACACAATTGCCTGCAGACTCCTCTTTACGCTTTTACTTCCGGTAAAAGTTCCTACTGCGAATCAATCCAATTCCATCGTTGCTTATATATATCGGCGATTATCGATAATTTTAACAGCTAAATACATCGATAAATATAACAGTGTCAATTATGCGGAACGATTTTGATGTTCGTTAAATGACGGAAAATTAAATTATGGCAACGTGTCGGTTAATGTGTCACTCCACGTACATCTCACTGATACATAATCAATCACGTTAAATCAATTCTTCGACGTAACCAACGAAGAATTGTCAATAGGTCAAAGTTACATAGCCAATTTTTCACAGGAAATTCGGGAATGATACTTAAAAAAATTCCAAAAATAGATACTCTAAATATTTCTAAACGAAGACACAATAGAAATTTCAACGATTATTCTCTGACAAATACGTAGAATGAACCGCGTTTCGGAAAACCAAAAAAGAGTCGCATCAAAGAATCAAATTTAATCGAAATCGCTCTTTGAGCTGTTTGAGCAATAACAAAAAATGTCTATGAAAGGAACGTCAAATCTTCTTCCCTGCAAGAATGATTACCCTATTTACCGTACATAAAACCTTAAACATGTATTACATTACATTATTCACATAACCAAACGAACTCATCAATCAAACCATACTTCATACCGTTGAAAAAAGAAGCACATGGAAGCTTCAAGTCTCTTCTAGCATAAAAACCATTAAATTATCCTATCTGCTTTAAGTGATACCTTGAACGTGTATTACGTTTTATCCACTTAACTGAACCAGATTCCACTCTCAAAACACGTTCATCCGGCTTCTGAAAAAATTCCATCGCAAAAAGGAAAAGACCAACTCCTCTTTACCATTAAAAGAAGTCGTGCAATTAGTTCTAAATTTGTTGCATGCTACTCGCCTATTAATATATCAGACATGGGAATCAACGATCCTCCGTCACGCTCAGGAAACTCACCCTCGTCCTCTCAAAATATTGTATCGAAAAGACAAAAGTACCAAATGTCAATTCTTCTCTGCTACGAAAGAAAACGCGCGATTCGCTTTGGATTTCTTACACCTTACGATTCGTCTATCAACGCGTTTCACCGACGAGTTATCCTCCAACCGGAAACATCGATGGATATACCTGGCCCAGAAATGGCTGGGGCGATTCGGAGAAAGCTCACACAGCCATCTTCGAATC